CTGCCTTTTCCTTCTCCACACTCTGTGTCTTAATTAGCCTTTCCCCCTCCTGTGGGCCAAACTGCTCTGCTTTCTTTTCAATCCTCCTTCCTTGTGCTTTGCCTCTAACAGTGTCTTTCTACTGTACACTTCAAAGGCTTTGCTTGCTGCATCTCCCCCATGCTGGCATTGGCTGGTAACACCCCCAAAGCAGGCCAGGTCTGCCATGAACTCATAGTCATTGAAACGGCTTTGGGCCCTTTGGGTCTGTGTAAGAAGCAGGCATGGGGGAGGAGAGGTCAAGGATTTCCAGCATTTCACCTATAAGAAGAATTATTAGTAACACAGGAAAAAAAAAAAAGGTAGGGGGGGAAGGGACCCCTCCTCCACCCACCCTCCCCAGAGGAGAGCCCACTGAAGGCAGAGTGCTTTTATGTGCAAGTGGGAGGGAAGGAGAGTGTTAGGGCTTCAGAGGGAAATGCTTTGATCTTGACTTTGAATCTCCTTCAGTTCCCAGCTCTCCCCCACTTCTCCCACCTATGGCCAGGACCACAGGATGTAGCCAGGACTCCTAGTCCTTGCTCAGTGCTATGGTACTTCACTTGCTGTTTCACATTTAATTTCCTCCTGCGCACCTGGGAGCCTCACAGAGGCCTCGTGGAGCAAGAGCACAGTGCCAACACCAAGTTCAAACTTCCCCCTATCAGACAGAATGGGAAGAGAAAGGGAGCCCAGCTGGACAGAAGCCAGAAGGGAAAAGAGCCCCGAGATGAGCAGAGGTGAATTAGAGATGGCTAATGACTCTCAAGGCTCTGGCACCCCAGGGCAGGGGACAGGCAGACCTGGCTCTCCTGTGCGTCCTGGTGTATTAGACTGGTCAGTGCTGAACACGACCCAGAATGTGAACTAGGAACCGTTAGGAGAGGGACAGAGAGTGGCTCTCAGAAGACAGCACTGATGTCCCCATGTCCCACAAAGAGTTATTTTAAGTTGGAGAGAGGAGAACAGCAATGAGAGCCCTGGCTGTTCTCTGGAGCATGGGAAGGAGGTGGCACTGATGAGTGCTGGACGATGAGGAATGACCCTGAGCTCTGATTCACTTCAAAGGCAGAGGACTATAGGGTGTGAGAGAGACTTAGGAGCCTCCAGTCTCTTGTCCAAGGTGGGATCTAATGTGTAGGCAAGATCCCCACTTCCCTTGGGAGATGAAACTTCCCTGGCTGGGCCTTGCCCTTAAGCTGTCTTCAAGTTCAGGCCAAATACTTCTGCCTCTGTGTTGCTCTTTTTTTTTCTCAGCTGAAGTCACTCCTGTTAACTGCTGTCCCTTGCTGAGGTTGCTGCACTTGAATATCCCTGCCTGCCAGTTTTCACTTCACCACCACTAAATAGATTTTTTCCTCACATCATCTCCTGTTTATAATTTAATCACTCCAGCCCTGCTACTCCTGGCTGAAAACTTCCTATAGTTTGTTCTTTTCCCTTTCAGTATGATGTAAGCAGACCTGTCTGCAGCACTGTGCCAGGCATGCACAGAGCGGAGGGTACCTCGCAGGACTTCTCTGCAGAGCCTGACCATTGCTCTTTCTGAGCATCACTTTAAGGGCTTCAACACAGACATCAGGCACTGGGTTCAAAGGTGGTTTCAGCCCTAGGGATGAGAAGTACCAGACAATATGAATGCCAAAACAGGACTTCTGTCATGCACAGTAAACAAGTTACTACAAAAATTGCGGTGGACTTCATGTTTTCCAGGTCCTTATTGGGCAATATTGCACCAGAACCCCTTGAACTTCCTTCTCCCTAAGACTGGTGGGCATATTGCAACTGCAGCAACCTGATTTCTCTTGCCAGTTCAGGCTGCAAGCTGTGCTCATTGCTCATTCCTTGTGGGGCAGTGCCAGGCACAAGAGAGAAAGCAGCCAAGGCAACAGACACTTAGGACCCTCCTAGAAGCTCCCATGCTCTCATTTCCATCAGCCCCTCTACAGTCTCATCTCCCCTGACTTCCTGGAGAGATTCAAATTCTGCAGTGCTCTGGAGCAAGAAAGGTGGGAAAAACAGAAGCCAGGGCACCAGCAATGACTTTAAGAGGATGGATGTGTCAATTTAGCCCATGTGTAGAACATAAATGTGTCATAAAGTAGTGTGGGTCAACCTTTTCCAACCAGAAGTGGTCCACAGTCTGACCTGCCCCAAATGGCATTTGGCTGCCCAGGTGTTTCAGTTATATCCCATCCTCTCTGAATAGTCTCATCTGGTCCACCCATGGACAACCCTGCAGTAGGTAGGGTGCTCTGACTCCCTCCACTCCTGGAGGTGCCCTAGGTGGGACTGGGGAACTTTCCTGATGGGGTGGATAGCTGAGTGTTTAAATGTTGTCCCCATGTGTGACACTGTCAAGATTGTCACATTCCAGTGACAGAACCAGAGCAAGCCCTGTCTTATTATACAAGAACTTATAAAAGAACTCAGCACTGAGTCCTTGAGACATCCTCATGAGGTTCAAGCCAACAAGAATTCTATCTGCTAAACAAAGAGGTTGCTCTTGACCTGGGAGAAGACTCTGTGCCCAGACTTGGAGCAGTAAAACCTGCCTTACAGCACATCTGGTAACACAGTGCCTGGAGACTCCCCACAACTGGACATGTCTGCACCTTTTTTCTGAGCCTTGTCTAGGAGAGAACAGGCTGCAAGCAGGCAGGTTAAAACCCAAGAGACAGAGAAACTTCTGGCAGCCATAGCTAAACTGCAAAGGTCTGCATGGTTGTAATGATGAAGCATCCTGCACCAAAGCAGGAAGCACTCTGGTCCCCCACTGAACTCCTCCAAGGAACAGAAAAATGCTAACTACTTGTTTATAAACTGGAAGCGGGTGTGTGCAGTCATCTGCATAACAGAACTGCCCAAGCTGTCTCTTTGTGTGTTTTCCAGCTCCTATGTTAATCACTGACCCTGCTGACTCCGGCATTTACCAGAGTCTCACTGCCCTGTGAGCACCGCTTTGCATTTGCAACCCAAGAAGTTAAAAGGATGAAGGATGAGAAAGGAAGCTCAGCAGCTGTGAATATGAACACCAGACTGCAAGAGGGGAAAACAGCCAGGACTGGACAGGTTGATAGAGAGAGTGGAGCTGGCTTTGAAAGACTGAAGGGGATAAAGCTCACCATGGAATGGTTTAGGTCTCTCTTCCTTGCACTGTAGCTTCTCTGGGTCCACTGAGAGTGACCTCTCTGAGTCCTGAAGGCCAGGGTTCACCTGGGATGATGACTCCTAACTGAGGCAGGGAAGACTCTCAATCAGCCAGTCCACAGCTTCCAGGGAGCCCTCTCCTCCTGTCAAACCCTCCCTGCATTCCTGGGATCAAATGTGAGACAAGAGAAGTGGGAAAAAATGCTCTAGGATATGTGCTTCTGGGCAGTGAAGGTATGCCTTGATTTGTGCAGCAATGCTTGCCCCTGGACTGCAGTACAAGCAAAGGCAGCAGGAGAGGGAGCTGGGCACATTTACCCTTTGAAATGTCTGTTTGGTTGCTTCTGAATTTCACAGGAATCCTATACATGGTGTCTCCGTGAGCCCTCCTGCCCGCTCGTTGCCAAATGCTGCAGTAGAAACGAGTGTCACAGTGAGGTTCCCCAAGGGCAGAGGTATGTGAGGCAGGAAGCCCTTGCTGTCTCTGGCATCAGGAGTTACTTTGTGTCCCTCAATGGATTTGGAGTGATTGTGGCAGGTTCAAGCTGGTCCCCAGGGATAGGGTAGGGAGAGGAGATTAGATACTGCCTGCAACCAGAGCTCCACACACACAGGGGACATGAAGCACTGACACAGTTAGCGAAGATCCCAACTCTTCCCTCTTGACCAAACTATGGCCCCTGTCATTAAAATGCACCCTCACACCCAAGACCAGATGGGCTTCTTGGGTTCCTGTTTTGGGGTGGTGTAGGTTGGGATGAGACAGGTTGTGGAGGAAGCTAGAGCTCTGGACATGTGGAGAGGCCATAGGGTAGAGGTGGTGGCAACTTAGCAATGCTGGATCGATGCTGGAACGAGGTGCCTGATGTGCTGGCTGTTTGCACAGCCTCACGTGATGCCCAAGAGACAGGATGAAGCCATTGTGAGAGCAGGAGTTAAGGAGGGGGACCTCGGCCCTGAGATTAGGCTGAGGAGGCAGCAGGGCAGAGATAATGGGGAGAAAGACAGCTCCACTGAGGGCCCAGGCATCAGCAGGCAGATGTAAGGCAGTCCAGAGCTGAGGACAGGGAAAAGGTTTCTGTAATTTGGGTGCCTCCCACAGACAAACGAAAAGGTTTTGACAGGCAGCTTTGTCTGCCTTAGGAGCCCAGGGGTCCCAGCAGCCTGGCCTTGCTGGTGAAAGGTCACCACTCGGGAAGGAGAGAGGAAAGGGCATCTCCTAGCTAGCAGGACAGAAGGACCACGGCCTCGTCAGAAGCAAGCCAGGAGAAGGGAGCAGACACACATACAGGCTGTGCCAACCCTTGGGCTGCAGTGACACTCACCTGGGACATGCCTGCTCCCTGTGGGACACGATGGGTGTCCCACGCAGGCGCCCAGCTCCCACCCCGTGGCCCCGGTGGGCTCCGCCGCTGGCCATGCGGCTGCGAGCCCGGGCGGGATGCGGGGCAGGAGGATGCTTCGGGGCGCAGGGTGCCTGGGCGCTCCGGGGCGCAGCGGGGCAGGGCGGCCGGAGGCGGCGGGCCCTTTAAGTGCGGCGGCGGCGGCACAATGGCCATTATCACTTTAGCTTTGGAAGTGACCCCCGGCCCGCTCCGCTTTCATCTGGGCCGGGGCCGCGGGGATGGCCCGCTTCCTGGCGGGGGAGGGGAGGGCGGGGGCCGGCGCGCGGCCGCCCGCTCCCGGGGGTCACTGCGGGGCTGGCACCGGGGCGGCCGCGGCTCCGCGCCGCTTCCTGCCGCCGCCCTTAAAGGTGCGGGGCGGCCCAGGGTGCGGGCTGGGCGTGACTTGACCCGCGGAGTCAGGTGAGTGCGGACCCGTGCTGGGCGCCGTCGGGGCCGCGGCTCCTCGCCATCCTTTCCAGAGCCGGGGCTGTCCCGCAGTGGCGGCACCATCCCCGGGCGGGCGAGCGTGCAGTCCCGTTCTGCCCTCGGTCCCCGCTCGGCATCTACCCGGGCACCGGCGGCCTCTCCCCTGGCCCAGGGCTGTGTGTCCCTTTGTCTCCCGGCGAGGGGAGCGGCCGCCTGTGCTCCCACCCGGGGTGCGGGGCCGTCCCCGTCGCGGGGCAGCCGCACGGAGCCACCTCCGCCGCCTTCGGGAGAGGCGTGAGCAGCCGCGGCTGCCTGGCGCTGGGGGTGTCTGTCCGGCGCCGCCCGCGGCTCAGTGCCCCCGCCCGAGGGGCGGACGAAGCCGGACTTGGCTGCAGCGCTTCGGCCTAGGTTAAGGTGGGTCTGAGGCTTTTCCCCTCTCCTGATGAGCGATTCCCCATTTGTGAGCTTCGGTGGATATGTGGATGTTGGCAGATGGAGCAAGCATCCTGGTGCCTTTGCTGCTTGCCCCTGGAGCTCCTCTGGTGATATTTCTAGCCTAGACAGCTGATGGAGGACTACTACTTCTGTGCTCCTGCCGTACAGTCCCGCTGGTCCAAATATCCTCCTCTCAAATGAGAGCCTGTGCCACTGGGGTGGTGCGAACCTGCAGCTGGGGCTGGGAAGTGAGCCACTTTACCCGGTGGGCTGGGGTGCACGAACACCCCTGCTCCTCTGGGGTACATGCGGTCTTTGGCAGTTGGGGTTGAAGTCTCCTGGTGGGAGCATTTTTGGGACTGGCTGGGGGAACTTGCACTACTGGATGCCACCAGCCCATCAGTTTAGGTGAGGGAACGTGACCTGCAGCTGTTTCCTTATCTGTTACAATGCAAAAGTGGCCAGGTTAGGTAAAACCTTTATCAGCAGCAAAAAGCTCCCTTGGTTACTTCTTGGTGCTGAGGTGGTTTAGTGGACACTTGTCTGCATGCTTGTTCAGCATGCTTCCCTGGGGCTGTGCAGGGAGAAGTGTTCCTTTTGCATTAGGTCCTCTGTGCTTAGAGCTGCTGGGTTTGATCTGGCCATGAACCAAGCCCCCAGCTTGTCTCACTTCTGCTTCTGATTTACCCAAGCCTCTCTCCACCTGCCTGAGGAGTTCCCTGCTGCTGATTCAGCTGTGGGTTTTGCCTTAGGATTGCTCTGGGAAGCAAGAGCTGACAGTGACATTGAGGCTGTGGATTTATTGCTGAAGAAAAGGATTAATGGCCATTAAGCTGTGCCTCCAGCTCTTCCTCAGTCTGTAAGGGGGTAGGAAATGCCTACTAGGACAGAAATACCAGGGTTGTTGCTGATGCTCTCTAGTCCATATCAATTATGTCCTCACCCTCTTCCAGGTGAAAAAAGTCTGTCTTGCCTTTCTTGATTCTTCTGGTGGGACAGTGCTCAGCAGACCTTGTCTTGTACAAGGGGAGGTGGCTGGCTCCTGAAGCATTTTACATACCACAGAGAGGGAGGATTTGGGTTCTGTCAGCTCTACAGTTGTCCTGAGTTGTGCCTTTGTTTCAGCTCCCCAAGCCCATGTCACTTAACATAAGCTTAGTCAAAATTTCTACAGATTCTAGGAAAATAACAATGCAGATCTGACCTGAAGTGACAATTCTATACCTTCTCAGATGAGGATTTTAGGACAGGTTTATCATCCTTGCTTCACAGCTGTGTGCATTCTCCTGTGTTTGTCTCTAGTAACTGATGCCCTACAGCTGTGGGAGCAGCTGTAAGAACGTTCTGGCCTGTGACATAAAGGAGGTTGTCCAGAAGTTTGGAGCAGGGGAAGGGATGCAGTTGGTGACTACCTGTGATCTGATTAAAGGCCAGGGGCAGCAGCACCAGCACAGAGGCTCCTTGTGATGAAGAGCTTGTATGTGTCCGTGTGATTCTCTGGCACCTCATGTGGTTTGCTCCTGGCCAGGGGCCATAGATGTAACAGCACTAAAAACCATATCTGCAGCAGGGCTGAAAATTGGGAGAGTTCTGGCTGGACATCTGCTTTACTGTAGAGCTGCTGCTTTTCCTGCTTCTGCTGTGCCTCATGTACCCACAGAGCTGTGAGTGCGTAGTGATACCTGTGAAGTGTTGAGAGAAGGTGAGCTCTGGCTGGCCTGTGAGCTGAGCAGGCTGCAAAGTGATGCTGTACATTGTAGGCATGATATGAAAATGAAGATTAGGAGAAAATGGAGGAGATTTGGCTTCTTGAGTGAGGTGTTGTGGTCCCTGGGAGAAAACTGGCCCAAAAGGGGGAGAGTAGGCTGGCTGGGGAGAGGCCTGAGCTATCTGTCTGTGAAAGGATGCTGCCGAGAGCTGCACTGATGGATCTGTGCAGCCATCATGAAAGCCCCTGGAGTGGTGGGGACAGAACCACATAGGAATCCAAAAGCTGAACAAAGCTTTTGGATTCCTATGTGGAATCCAGTAGAAATATGAAGCTTTGACCCTTTGTATTTCATGAGCAGGAGCTGGCATGCAGAAGGAGGTAGGACAGGACTGGGACCAGCTCAGGCAGGGAGGAGCACTCCATAAAGACTCTGGAATACCCACTCAGTGCTTGCACTCTATCTGTGCTTTTGGGTTGCCTCCTGCCTGCTAGCTCGTCTAAGAGAAGCCCTCCTTTTGTGCCTTCTCCTTAGCTGTGTGTGTTGGCTGAGCAGCAAGTGACATCTAGTGTCAGCTCAGGTAGCAGTAGCCATGACTTGGGCTGGCTCCGTCACTTCCATCCAAGGTTCTGTGGCAGTTTTTGGTGCATGCAGTGGGTGCAGTTGCAGTGCCCTGCTCTAAGGAGAAGGCAAGCTCCTTGCCCCCTCTTCTGCTGAGCTTGAGCCAGGTGCATCCATGGCCCCATATAGGGTGTTCTGTTACAGATCCTTTCCTGCAGTGATGACATTTTCCCTTTGAGGGAAACTTCTCTCTGGGTGCTGGTAGGGAAGTAATAAACTGGAAATGATGGAACCACTAGAGGGAGAGGTGGATGTAGGGATGATGCCAGGCCAAAACCGGGTATGCAGTGGTAGGAGGTGACCTGGCTTCCCACCCCATGGGTGCAGTCACTCCTTAGTTTTGCTTAGACAAATGGAGTCTGTGTGCCATATGTGCTGCCCACAGGAGGTCAGTGGTGAGCAAACTTGAGCCCATGTTCCACTCCCAGGTCTGCCTGGTGTGGACTGGGTCTTCCTCCTTTGTCCTTGGAATGTGCATGGCGGCCTTTCATCTACCTTTTTCCCCCATCCTGTCCTTTGGGCAGGAGCTGGACTTGGAGGTCAGGTCACTGCCAGTCTGAAGTGTGTAATGTCTTCATCTCCAGTGACTTCTTTATTTTTGCCATCTTTCAGGATGATCCAGAGGCACCAGCTGGTGCAGTCTGTGCTGCAGGAGCTACAGGAAGCCACTGAATGCTTTGGTCTGGAGGGCCTCACCAGTGCTGCACTGGAGGCAGAGAGGACCTTGTCATCTTTCTCCCTACCTGGTTATTGTGGAAGTCAGTTCCAAGAGGAGCTGGAGGTTGACCGGGTAGCCAGGAGCCTCTATCCTGAGGATGCCCCAAGTAACATGCTGCCTCTCGTTTGCAAGGGTGAGGGAAACCGCCTCTTTGAGGCTGCTAGTGTGCTGCTCTGGGGCAACCCCAGCCTCAGCCTGGAGCTGCAGGTGCGTACTGTGGTGGAGATGCTGCTGCACAAACAATACTACTTGAATGGCATGATTGATTCTAAAGTGATGCTGCAGGCTGCCCGCTACTCCCTGTGCACTGAGGAGACCCCGGAGATGACCAGCCTCCCCATGGCTATCCTGGAAGCCATCTTTGATGCTGATATCAAAGCTACCTGTTTTCCTGGCACCTTTGCCAACATGTGGCATGTCTATGCTCTTGCCTCAGTACTGCAGTGTAATATCTACTCCATCTATCCCATGAGCAACTTGAAGATCCGACCCTATTTTAACCGGCTCATCCGGCCCAGGAAGTGTGGCCCACGAACCTCCACGCTACACATCATGTGGTCAGGGCAGCAGCTCTCCCGGCAGGTCTTCAAAGCGCAGTACTTTGTGGCCGTGGTTGGCCTGGAGGAGCTGGAACCCACAATACCTTCACCAGAGCCTCCTGTCCAGCCCATGAAGACCCTTGAGCTGCTGAACAATGACCCCCAGCTGACCTACTCCAACCTGCGTGACCGCTACAGCATTACCAAGAGCACCTTCTACCGCTGGAAGCGCCAGTCCCGTGAGCACCGGCAGAAAGCGGCTGCCAGGTTTGCAGCTAAACACTTCCTCCAGTCCTGCTTTCAGGAGGGCAATATAATCCCCCTCCAGCACTTCCGACAAATGTTTCCAGAAATCTCCCGATCCACGTACTATGCCTGGAAGCATGAGATGCAGAGCATGGTCAATGGTGATAACTCTGCTCTGTCTGAGACCCACAGGTTACAGGAACTTCACAGGGTCGTCCCGAAAAAGGCTGATGTGAATGAGCCAGGAAATCCACAGGGGAGCTTAAAATCCTCAAGTCCTTCCCCAGATCCCATTCAAGCAGGAATCTTTATGCAAGGAGCCAAATCCTACCTGGAGAAATGCATTTCCATGAACACTCTGGTGCCTTACAGATGCTTCAAACGCAGCTTCCCAGGCATCTCCAGGTCCACTTACTATAACTGGCGAAGAAAAGCAATCAAGGAGAACCCCAACTTCAAACACCCCCAGTCACCCTTGGATAACCAGAAAACTCTAGCTATAGGAAAGCCATTCCTGCAGTTGAAGCCAAGCAGCGTGCCTGTTAGGAAGAGACGGAATGGAGACCGGCCAGCATCCAGGAGTCTGCTGCAGCTCCATCCTTCTCTGTGCTGGAGAAAGCAGCTGCGAGATGTGGCCAGGAGGCAGGTCCAGCAATGGCAGCTGCCGTTCTGCAAGTTCCGCCTGCGCTATCCATCTCTCTCCTCCACAGCCTACTGGTTTTGGAAGGGCAGTGGCCAAACCGTTTGGCAGCATCGCCTGCCCTGGAGCAGCTCCAGCCTGCCATTGAACCGTGTGGCTTCCCTGGCACCTCCAAGAGCAGAGCCAGGCCTCAAACCGCAGTGCCATTTGGAAGTAGTCACCAAGCACATAGATAAGCCAGCGCCTGCCGTGCCGTGCAGCGCCACCATTTCGGGCTATGCCATGTCGGAGAGAGCCAACAGCCGGATGTTTGTGATGGATGTGATCGCCACTGCCCAATTCAAGGCACAGGCCAAGCTGTTCCTGCAGCGGCGCTTTGAGTCGAAGACCTTCCCAACCTACAAGGAGTTCAGCGCCCGCTTCCCGCTCACGGCCCGTTCCACCTATTACATGTGGAAGCGTGCCCTGCACGATGGGCTAACATTGGTGGATGCCTGAGCTGGCCACAGCTCCTCTGCTGATGTGCCCTTTGGCTCTCTGGTGCAGTGCCCAGGTTGGGGCATCGCTAATTTTGTTCTGGTTTGGTTTTGTTTTGTTCCTAGTCTCTGGCTTTCTTTTTTGTGTGGTTCAATCAGGTATGGGAGCATCCTCATAGTGCCTATTCCCAGAGGCTGGAGGAGTGGAAGGAGAAGGCATTGAGTCCCAAGGGAGAGGGGCCAGGTAATTTTCCTTTCTTTGTGCTCAGAGGATGAGCAAGGGAGGCAATACTGTGTCGATGTCATGGGATGCTGGTGGGCCTCATGAGATGGAGGATGTGAAAGTCTCTCTGCCCCAGGCAGTTGCTTGAATGAGTAATGTGGAAGTGCAGGATGAGCATGGAGGTGCCTAGCATCTTATCAGTGAGCAGAGTAGTACTGGCTCAGCTGTAGGTGAGGAGAGGTTTGGGGAGTGCTCAGCATTATGTAAGAAGCATCTTTGGGCTTTTCCTAGCTAAGGAGAATAAAAGCTTCACTTGGGATGAGTGAAGCTCTGGTTTTTAATACCTGCCTCTGGCTGCCTTGATCTTTCATAGATGGAGCAGAGACTGCTAGATGAGGGGACTTGTTTGTGTCCTCACTAATCTCTATGTTGGGAATGCTAAGCTATGAGTCAGTGTCTTTTGCAGGCTCTGGAGAAGCTGTCCCTGACCTTTCAGGTCCTGTAGCAATAACCTTTCACACAAACCTTTATTCTCTCAGCTGGCAGCTACCCTATTTTTCTAGGGTCTCTCTTCCCTGATGTCTAGGAGAATGCAGAGAGACTGCAACTTGTGTGCTCAGTGTTCCTGCATCCCCTGTGCTGTGCTGCAAGCAACATGGATGTGTATTTCTCACTTGTAAGAAACCAAAGCAATAAAGACTCTTCCACTCCTAGTCCTGTGTGGTTTCTTACTCTCACTGCATGATTTCTAGGCAAGGCTTTTTTCCCCCTCCCTCTCTGCTTTCTAAAATTGTCTAATGGGCAGGGAGAGACTGTGCACACCTCAATCCCTGCTCCTGAGAAGGTACTCTTCTGGTTCCTGGTGGGGAGTGTGCTGCTTGATGTTGCCTCTCTGGAGGCCTTGCTGGAGCTGTGCTTTCCCTGGTAAGGAGCCCAAGACTTGCTTTCCAGAACAGATGCAAGGCTGGAGGTAACCCAGTGTGCCCAGCCCTGTGTGACAGCAGGGATGCACAGACAATGTCTGGGATGTTGATGGTCCTGCCCTGAGGTGGTGGTGGTGTACTGGGAGGCCGAAACTACCTGTTTGTACCTCTGTGCTGTGAGCATCTTGAGGTGCAAGGCTGAGGTCTCTGCCTGACTCCAAAAACCCTCATCCCCTTAGTGTGAGTTCTGTGGTGTCTGTCAGCATGGCTGTGCAGGACTAAGCTGTAGGATGTCTAGGGCTGGCTGGTACCACTGGCTGTCACCACTGCTGTGGTGACAACTACAGTGCCTGGTCTTGCTTCCCAGGAAGCTGTCAGAACTCAGCAACCTACAGCTGTGGGGGGAGAGCTTCCCAAGCTCTGCATTTACAAGGTCAGCTCCTGAGGCTGGGTCAGCAAGACTGTCCTACTCCCAGGCCTTTGACAGGGCATGATGAGCTTTATTGGAACACATGTGGTGTGTCTGTCCCAAATCCATCCCCCTGCTCTGCCCCACCCCCTCCTCCCAAAATTACTCACAAATAACTTGTTTTTCCTTAAGGTGTCCAGAACCTGTCACAGGCTGCTGCAGCTGGATCCTGTTCCTGATGTAGTCTGGCCTCACTCCCTGTGAGCCTCCTGGGCAGAGGGGCTCTCTGCTGGAAGGTTCTGCTGAGCTCTCTTCTGCAGCAGCTTGCAGGAGAAAGGGGTGCTCAGGGCTGACCTGTGGTGGGCAGCAGTGTTGAACCAGGATCTGGAGCATGTGTTAAGGAACCATTTAGCTCCTTGTCCTTGGTGATGGTGGGATCTCACCACTGCCCATCTACTCCAACCTGTCCTCTGTGGCCCCAGAGGAGGGGTTCTGGGCCACTTGCCCTTTTGGGAAGGGAGGCACATAAGGAGCAGGGAGCTGCCAAGCAGTGCTGTGTGCTGCTGCAGAGAGCCCTGGGCTCTGTGTCAGGAAGTAATTGAAGTAATTAGCTGCCAGGGAGGACTCATCCATGAACTCCTCTAAGGGAGTGAGCTGGTAATTACTGCAGAAAGATTACCTATATCTCCAAACTGCTGGAGGCTGGAGATAGCTGCTTTCAGCAGCAGTGATGGTTGTGGCAGTAGCTGTGAAAATGGATGGAAGACCCCCCCCCCCAGAGTGTTCCCCACCATGCCTGAGCCAAGGGAAGCAGCAGGAAGGGTGGGTTTTCTGATAGTGGGTGGTGCCAACATGGGCCCTATGTGGATGGGCGTGAGGCTGGGGAATCCATCAGCATGGCACAGCACAAGGGATGGTGGTCAGGTACTGCTGGGGGCAGGTGGGCATCAGGAGAGCCTGGGGGAAGCCTTTGTGGTGTGGCCCCCTGCTCTGCAGGGTGAAGGGAATGGCTTCTGCTCCACATCATCCAACTGTCCCTGAACTGGGAGTGCTGCATGCATCACACCTGGCCAGTTGCAGGATGAACATCTTCTGGGTACTGGGCTCCACAGCCCTTTGCAAGACAATTTTTAGAAGCCTTGATAAAGAGATCTAGATGTAATATTTTCCTTGCCCTGGGTGGGGCATGCTGGGGAAAATAATACTCATTTCCCTCCCTATGCCTTGATGGCAGCAGGCCATGTTGGATCACTGCCAGCTGGCACCACCTAAATGGTGAGTGCTTGTTCATTATTGATGTCGTTTGTGGCTGAGCAGAGTTTAAATGGGGGGAAATTGTAGCACTTGACCGGTAAATGCCGTGCTGTTGTCACGCTGGGCTGGTGCTGGGAGGTGAGTTTGAGGCAGGCTCTGCATCACACTGCCAGGCACCAGATGGTGAATCGCTCCCTTTGCACCTGGGCAGTGAGATTCAGCTCAGGTGTCACCTAAATTCTTTCACAGAGAGGTGCTTATAAATACTGGCCTCAGAGAAGATGAAAATTGAAAGATGACTGAAAAGCAGAAGCTGGGGAGCTGCAAAGCACAGAGGGACCAGCCTTTTGCTTACCTGTGACTTAGGGCTCCCCTTTGCACTGCCCCTAAGGCATCTCAATTACATCTGTGGGGAGTGTGGAAGGTGGGCAGTGCAGTGCAGCAGAGCCTGCCCAGGTGCTGTGGGAGTAGTTGATAATGCCCAAGCAAAGCCTCGGGACATTTAGCTGATACATGGTAGCTCCAGCATGGTTTTGCCTCCAGATTTTGCACAGGCAGCTCGTTTGTTGGTGCAAAGAGCAATAGTGTTGGTCTTAAAAGCACATCAAGTGGCAAAAGGGCTGCATTTCACAGGATAGCTCCTCTGCTTTCCTGGGATCATCAGAGTAGACGAGTAGCAGCAGCAGGAAGATAGAGAAGCCAGAGCCACCATTCAAAGCTGCTCACATGCTGACAAGCATAGCAGCAATTCATTATCAAGAATATCTGTGTGGGGAGGGGAAAAAAAGATGAGAGGAAAATAGTGATCATTTTTATGAGTCCCCTGCATAATTCCATCCATAGGCCCAGACTACAGGCAACTAGTGCTGCCAAGCCAATTTAGTTGTTCCAACAGAATCTTTTTCCTCCTGTGCCCCAGGGGTATTTGTGGGGAACCATTTGCCTGTGTCACAGCAAGTTATGCCAGCCACTGCCAGGTCCTGTTCCCTGTTCTACCACCTGCTCTGCCTCCTTTCCATTAAAATTCATCTCATGTGCTGTGGCTGAAAATGTCTTCTGGAGTCCAGCTGTGGCCCTTCACTGCCCTGCCATTATGCTTCATGAATATTTTTTTTACTGAACCAATTACCCATCAGATCTGCCTTTTTCGTGTTAGAGCAATGGCTCAGGTCCTTTCCTGGTTGCTGCCAGCTGAGGACCTCCCTGCCTGCTGCAGCAACTCCTGCTGGCAACATCTCATTGCATTTCCCTGCATTGCATCCCATCTCCACCACTCCTGCCTTCAAGGTAGCCCAGTTTCTCTACTCTTCTTCTATATTTCAAAACCCTCCTAATTTGTGTCATTAGCAAATGACACTAAGGTATGTAGCAAATGACACTCTTTCCTGTGCCAGCTTGCTAGTGAAATTATGGAAGATCAATCCTCATATAGATGCTCAAGGATCTTGCCCTCCAGCCCAACTGATCTTCTAAAATATCAACAGCTCATTAATACCTGTCTTATCTTTCTTGGACCGGCCCCTACCTGACAACTCTTGGTGTGGCTCCATCCCAGCAGTCTGGCCAAGTTCCAGATGCAGTGTTCCCAGCCTTTCCTCTTCTAGAAAACAAGTATGCTGATGTGTAAGGCTATTTTAGCACAGTCAACATCTGGAAAATACTGCAGTTTTGGAGACAGTGCTCAGGTATGAAAGCACTTTAGGAAGCAAACTTTCCATTTTCTAGCCTAATAGTGCCAAGAGTTTGGTGCCCATGACTAGATTTGGATATACTATTTTGAGGATGGCATTTCAGCAGATACTGCACTTACATTTGCATTTCATTTCTCCTCCCCTGGCATCTTCCTTTTCTGATCTCTCCATCCCTTTTCCATCACTTCAGTAACTGTAGTGTTGGGAAAGGTAGGAGAGCTGTGGCAGGATGGACACACACTCCTGCCAAGCTCAGGTGGTTGAGAATAAAGTTATGTCTTCAGGCACTTCCATAACTGGGTGAGTTTGGGCAGGAGCTTGCCTGGGTGGCTGGAAGGGCCCCTTGCCCACTGGGCTGTCCCTCAGCCCTCTGTGCCAGGAGAAGGCAGCACTGTACACTTGGACTTCTGTGAGAAACTGGAGTTGATCCTTCCTGGCATTTTGATGAAACAACAAGATTTATTTAAAAATTAAGTTGGCAAATACTGAAAGGATTAAAAACTGGTTAAGCATTGTATCTCCAAAAGTAGATGGAGCAATTGCAGAGAAGGGGCATTTCTGCTGGGAAGCCTTTAGAGGATGGGAGCAAGCTGAGCACAGCCCTGCAGCCAGAAAAGCTCCTGAGCAGAAATGGGCAGGAGTGGGGCAGGGTAGGGGGGAGAAGAGAGGCTCTTCCACCACTGCCCCCATCCCACTCTCTGGCATAGCTGCAGGGGCAGCACCAGCTTCTCTGCTCAGGGGAGATCCTGCTGATTTTGGGTGGGGAGACTGGCTCTGTCTGGTCTAGGAACTCCCAAGTTTAGTGCTTCTGACACCTGTTAGTCTTGAGTCTCCAAATCATCTGAAGTACCATCAGTGAGAATATTTAAATTGCATCTTCAACATACACCTACTAAAGGGCATTTGTGGTCCACCTGCAAAGGCCTTCCTTGCTTCTGAGATCCAGCCCAGACAACAACTAGAGCAAAACCAGGGTCAGCTCAGACGAGCAGCACACCTGCAGACGTGGTCCCCAAATGTCCCTGTGCCTGGGCACCATCAGGACATGGAGTGGAAGGGTGGAGAGGGGGCTGCATTGGGTACAGTCCCTGGGCACCACAAGGGACAGATGAGCAGTGGAGGGTGGTGCCAACACCTTCCCTGTCACCCTCACTAACCAAGCCCCTCCCGAGGCATCACAGCAAGCCCTGTCACTCACCAGTGACCACGGAGACCATGCCTTGTCCTCAGCAAGGTGTCCCCACCTAGTGCTCTGTCCCCTGTTGACAGCACTTGTCCTCTTGCCCCATGGGGACAGCTTGATCCCAGCAGTGTGTTCTGGCATGTGGGGCTGCTGGAGTCTGTGCAAGAGTGAGCTGGTGCCTGTGTGTGTGGTGGGAGCAGAGGTAATGAAGCTCCTGATTTCCCAGCAGCTGATGCCTGCCTGAGCAATAGCTCTTAATTGGCTCCTCTCTGCAAAAATCCTCTCCCACCAGCCCCAGGGGAGATGGCATTGCCACAGGCTGTGCCTCCCTGTGCTCTCTCCACTGCAGGCTGTTTTTGGGGAGCAAAGAGGAAAAGATAAACTACGTGAAGAGATGCACTGCTGCATGATTTTTAAAGGGGATTTTTTTTTACAGAAATAAAATTTGCCTTGTCTCAGATAATTAGCTATTTCCTGACTGGATTACTGTGAAGGGAAAACACTCACTATGCTGTTAAGTGAGCCAAAGGACTCACTCTGCTTTTAATTCCCCATGTCTCTTTTCTCACCATCCTCCAGATGAGAGATAGGGGTGAAATAAAGGCATTTCTGCTCCACCAGCATGGCTGCAATCCCACTCCCCTGATGGGTGCTGGGGAGAAGAGCAGTGGGTGCTTTGCCTCTGCAAGGGGCTTGTCCTCCCAGGGAGTGAGGGTGCTGGGAGTGCAGGGGGAAGGACACCCCATATCCTGCTCTGGTAGTTCCCACATCACCCACCTTGGGGCTGACCCCAAGGAGGGTCAGGCTGGCTGGGGGTGTGTGGGAGGACCAGTGTCCTAGTGGATCCCATTGGCTGGGGACAGCGCCCCACAGGGGTTCTGAGTCCCCCACAAACCACATCAGCTTTTTTCCCCTTTGCCGTCCTCTCAGCTCATCCCTGTGGGAAGAGGAGTGAGATCCAGCATGGCCCATCCCAGCATCCCCCGTCAGTATTTCCCAGCTCCTATTTGTAGCCAGTGAGACTGTTTTGGCACAGCACAGCACTTGCTGAGGGGTGAGCAGTGGCAGCAGAGCCGGCGACGGCTCAGATGTATCGATCACTCAGATCTGTGCTGAGGAGCTGCTCCTTTCCTCAGCAGCTTTCTTCCTGGCTGCATCCCAGAAAGAGGTAGGATTCAAAGGCCACCCCCGCCCTTGGCACAGGCTTCATCCATCCTGTCCTTAGCTGCTTCTGAAGAGAAAGGCCCGCAGGAAATGCTCACCTTCATGCTGTGGAGGTTAAAACAGAAGCTCAAGCTGGAAGACAATGTGTTTTCTGCTGCTGTGAAAAGAAACCAAATCCCAGTACACCTCAGACAGTGCTGCTCTGAGCTCCTGGCTGAGCAAGGAGCATCTCCAAGGCAGGGGAGGGATGGAGAGAATGATCAACCAGTCCAGGGAGTGGGGCTGACTTGGTCCCCAAGTTCTTGTCCTCACAGCAAGGAGGGCATCTGGGACACCTGGTCATGGCACTTCTGGCAACCCAAAGGCCACAGAGGGTGTGAAACCAGAGAGGGGTGTTTGTGCACAGATTTGGGGAAGGGAGCAGGGAATGGGCTTTCTGGTGACTCTCCGTGTCTGTCGCTCGGTGTCACTGGCTTAGGATCAAGGCTGGTACTGGTGGGGCAGCTGAGCCAGGGCATGGGCATTTGGGGAGCAGTGGCCAGGAGGGTGATGGTGCAGCGTCGCTGAGGCCAGGGGGCTGAAAGACCAGTGCTGAGGTGCCAGTCAGTACCTGTGTTCACAGGGACAGGCACCTGCAGCCATCTGGTGGGGAACTTGGTTACAAACAGATGTCCCAGTCATGAATGGAGAAGAGGGAGTTGTTCTGCAATGTCCTGGAACTCTCAGCACTGCTTGTGGTTATTTTTAAGCTCTGGGATACAGAGAAGGACAGCAGGTTGTAGTTATAGGACATCACTGTTTTACCAACCTTCCTCCACAGACACCCCAGAGTCTCCCTCATCAGCCACCAGACATCTCATTTGTCACTGCCCCTCTACACAGACAAAGATATCTTTGCACTTTCTGCCCTTCACATCACCTCCCACAGCAGTGACCTGGCAGGCTCCCCCCATTCCTTCTCCTTTCTGGGCCAGACATGTTGCTGGGCCAGAACTTGAGGCCATTCCTCTCCCCCAAATTTCTGAGTATCTCCTATGGGATCTGGACCATTACAGAGCTCTGCTGCTGAGCTGAGGGTCCTGGTTGGGAGAGGGACCCCTTCTCTGGGAGGATGGGAGGAAGGGGGTGAAGAGTCACTTCTTCCACACCCACTGGTAGTTTAGTTTATTTTTTTTTTTAAGCTCAGTTAAATTTCTGGAACTTGAACCTTCCCTGACTGCTGTGTCTTATTGCCTTTTTGCTTCCTTCCCTTCTGCTTAGGCAGCTACAGCAGACGCTGTGAATCTATAATAAGTTATTCAGCTCTTCCTTGGATTTAAATTTCCACATGTTTCCCTTCAGGCTGTTTCCAACTAATTTCTGCATTTGCATAATGCCCCCCTTAGGGATGCTTTGGCACAGCCCCTTCTCCCCTGCTTTGACAAGTTCATCAGAGATTCAGGCTATTAGAGGAAAAGACTCTAATTCTGTTGGCCCCTTAGCCCGCTCCTTCCCTGTGCATCTCCAATTTAAAAACCACAAAGAAGCAGTTTGGGGTTCAGAGGGATGGAATGCTCGTGGGAAGTGGGCTGAAGACTGCTGGACCCCCCACCCTAGGAAGCCCCTGGAGGGAACCAGCTGGAAGAATTACAAATTCAGAAGCAAATGCTGTATCTTATTGTAGATTCTGGTCTGGCAGCCCAAATCATTTTGTCTCAACCAGAATCAGCAGGGACCCTCCCACCCCTGCTGATTCTGGGGTACTTGAAGGGGAGAGATGAGGAGGACTTTAGCTGGGACAGCACTGAGCTGGGGGTGGTGGGGCTGGTCACCCCTGCTGCAGATGCACCCACAGATGTCCCCTCTCCTGAAATAGTGCTCTTGCTTGGTTATTTGGAGTGATGGACATCCAGGAAGGCTGAGCACATGCAGGAGAGGGGAATGAAAACCATCACATGGGTACCAGGTGAGTCTTATTACTCTTCTCTAAGGCCACCTCATCTCTTTTGGACATGCTAGCCCTTCCCTGCAAATTCTGCCTCTCTTTCCACAATCAGAAGCAAGATCTGCTTATTTCCTCCTGATGTTTGTATTTTTCTGCCCCTCTTCAAGCAGATTTTATGCTTCTACTACACACAGATGCTCCAGTCTGTCTCCCTAATTCTTGTCCAACTACACAAGGCACAAAAAGCCTACACCACCATCCTGCTCTCGGTGGTATTTGCCCACTGTGATCTACACTGAAATACACCTCCCTCCAAGATACCCAGACACCAGCTAGATTATAACTTCCTTCAGGAACAGCATAAACACCTCATGTTTAAGTGAGTGTGGCATTCTTGTGAAGCTCACCTCTTTGACAGCCAGCTCCACATTATTATAAACAGAGTCTTTTCTCCTGCTTTTTTTATTAGTTCTTCCATGTTAAAAAACATAATGGGAACTTTCAGACCAGCTTCTGTACAGATCTCTGATGCACTTCTCTCTTTTATGGCTCAAGTACAATGGCAATCGCAGACATTAACATGCTTCTTTAGGATGAAATGTACATTTGAATGGCACCCAGCTGGAGGAACATGCTGCCTCTCTTGCAAAGCTGGCTGCAGCCTGCCCAGAAACTCTGGGAAGGGGGTGAGGGATTCCCAGAGTCTGCCTGCAGTCTCCTGCACATGGGGACAAGAGGCAACAGGAGAGCCAGAGAGAGGAGGGATGGTCAAAGGCAGATGCTGGAGAGTGGGGGGCGAGCATGGCTTCTTAATGCCAGCCCTCTGGGGCAACCATTGCCTTCATACCCACTTCTGAAGCATTTGATGTGTTGCTGACAATACACAAATAAGCAAAAGTAAGATGTATGGGGTGGGGGTGCTTGGTATTTCCTTGTTACCAGAGGCTTTTGGATGGATGGAGGTACCTCTCTCCAAGGCATGGGAAGGAGTGTGTTGAGGTCACCCTGTGTCTCAGGCTCCTTCCACATCTCTTCCTTCTCTGGATCTCGTCCCCTCACAAGCAGAACTCCCACCCCAGATTCTGCAGGCTTTGTCAGCCTTTTCTTTCCATTCCTCTTTGTGTGCAGGGCCCTGACCTAGCACAAGGAGTGGAACCCTTCAAGGCCAGCACCCCTCCCAGGACACTTCTTAGGTAGAGATTTCCATTACAAAACTTTTAAAGGGCCCAGCACTCTGGGACAGCAACCCTATGTGGGCCCTGACTTGGGATCATCATGGCAGTCACTATTAACACTGAGAAAACCTTGCTGCCTCTGCCAGCTTGCGCCAACAAAGGGAGGGATGGTGTGCAACCACCAGCCTGCCTTCCTCCTTGTTTCTGGTTTGGGATAGACCAGGAACTGGGATGCTCTCCTGTGGATCAGGGGTCTGTCTGCAGAGGGATGCAGAGAGCATGCCTGTTGGTCTTGTCCGTGCTCTGTCCTCCTACTTCACTGCAGCTGAGGGGTCAGGCCACCCCACGGCACCGAAGTGACAATGTTGTCCCCATCACAGGAGTCTGGAGTCCCCACCAGGACGCTGGCCTCCCAGAAGAAGCAGAAGTCATTCCCTGGCACCATACCCCCTCTTCCTCCTGTGTGCACCCTTCATGGGCCAAGCCTGGGCAAGTGATGGATCTCCCAGCTGCGGGGCTGAGAAGGGAAGCTGCAGCCCAGACTGGGGTGGCTGCACCAGCCCAGCAGCAGCGTGTGGTTTTTCTCCTGCACATCTTCCACTAGGCAAATGTGCTCCTCCTTGTCCCAGCAGCCAGGCTGGTGCTCAATTCCCTGTTGATAGATGGTCACACACCACAACTTCAGGGAGAACAGGGGTCTACTGTTTGTGTGAAAGAGGAAGAAACCTGCACAGGACATCCACGCTGGGGCCCTGCAGTGCAAGCAGCCCTCGCAGGCACTGGTGCTCTGTGCTCCGCAGGAAAGCTCAGTCCCAGGAGGGTCAGCAGCCAGGGATGGCAGTGACATGCAGGTGGCAGCTACACGTGGCCGCCTTTCGAGAGATAAGCAATCAGTGCTACCACCACGCCGATGTACACTCCTGTGCCAATGGTTATGGAGAGCGCGGCGAGGAAGAGAGCTCGGCGGGAAGCTGAACTGGCCAGGTGAAAATCTCCTTTGGAGACAGCCTTGCTGGTCTGGAAGGAGAAGAAATGCTTGTTGCTCACAGCTGTACCAACCTGGCCTTTAACCAGCATGCAGTTGTTTCATTACTGAGTCAGTGTTTCTTGTCTGGCCACTGCACCCCACGGAGGCTGGGAACAGCCAGCAAGGTGTCTGTCAGTCTGGGAGGGCTCAGAGCAGCTGTGCCACCTGCACACATTTCCCTGTGGATTTTGCCTCCAGGGGAAGCATGGGCTTCAGCTCCTTGTCTGAAAGCACCCATCTGGGTACACAGCCAGAGCTGTGAGTGGGTGGCTGGACTCTTGTAAGACCTCAGAGCATGGGGTGATGGCTGTGTGCTACTGACCAGCCTATACAGAGATGTAACGAGAACTGCCTAGGCTCAGGGACTCTTGATGGCATGGTCTGTTGGTCCAGCTGTGCTGCCACCTGATTTTTCCTGCATGGGGTTTTCAGCTGAAGCCCATTTGCTGTTGAAGGGCTGATGAAGCCAGCAGTGGAGACACATCCTTATCCCTCTGGGAAAGGATGGCGACTTCCAGCTTCTCTGAGTGCTCAGGACATATTCCAATATGCTCTTGTTACCTACTACTTGAGTTCAAGTTGCCAGGTGGGCATCAATGCACTCAATGTGCAAAGACAGCAAAACACATATGGTCCTTGCCTCAGTGAGTGAACAAAGGGGGTAGTTATAGAAAATGGAGCTAGATATAAAATGCCCCACCTGCATCACCATGTGCAGAGTGCACTGTGCTATCTTGCATTACATGGAAAAATGTGAAATCAACTGCTCTTTGGGTTCCTAATCAATTAATGCTTCCCCTGTCTCTCACCAGCTCTGTGCCAGGAACTCATGTAATATATTTTTCCACTTCTGTTCCTATCCTCTTGATTTAACTTCTTAATGCCTCCTCCCATCTATTCTTGGTACAGCAGCATCTGTGCAAATGTGGAGTAAATCCTCTGGCTCTGCATGAATTATTCTGGGTCAACAGCAATGTAAGTGAGCCCAGGCTCCAGGCTAAGTCCTCAGGGATGCAGCAGCCCTGTGAGGTGCTGCAGCCTGAGGGCCATTGCCTCTCCAGCCTCTGCCAGCCTGGCACTGGCTCCCACAGGTTAGCCAGTGTGCATCAGAAACAAGTGCAAGAGAGGAGCTGTAGTGTGATATGGACACCAAGCTCCCCTCTGCCTCCAGCCTCCAGAGCAGCCTGGCTCCTGTGGCATGAGCTGCCACAGTCTGGGTCACGGTGTAGAGCCTTCACATTAATGGAGAATGGAAAAACAGGTGGGAAAATGCCATTTTCCTGAACCTGGCTGGAGGGTGAGAAGGTGGGCAAGGCCAAGAGGAGCCCCAGTTTCCTAAATAACAGCCAGAAAACCCAAAGGAAAAGCCTGACCTCCAGTAACCCACACCAGAACTGGAGGGATGCCAACCCCATAACAATTGTGGAGACATCCAGGAGCACCCTTTGTCTCAGCCCTCAGAGTTATGGCCATGCACAGAGATGAACCTTAGATTCAGAAAGGTGCTGGTCACCTCCATGGGCCGCTGAGGCTTTCAGGGCCCTTGCTGTAGCACTTGGCACATGCAGGCAAGCAAAGGGACTCCTTACCCCTTGGGAGAAGTAGAAGGCAGCAATCCCCAGGGGCCAGAAGCAACACAGCATGGAGAAAAGGGCCAAGCCCAAGTGGTCCCGGGGGGGAAGCATCAGGAAATGATCCTCGCTTTCGCTGTCGCTGGAGGAGTCGCTCTGCAAAACCAGATGGATTCAGCACATGCCCACCTCCCCGTGCCACTCTGCAGGCTGCATCTCAGCACCTCGCCTCCCAGCTCCCACTCCCTCCTGATCCCGTCACATGTTCTCATACAATTCCCACTGGCAAATTCAAGAAGTAAATTTCAGAAATATTTTAGACTCTTCAGCATGGCTTGATGAGGAACAACGTAGCTCAGCAAATTGGATTCTCGGCTCCCTGCCAGAGCAAATGCTGGGGGTCTGGGATTTCCCTGCACTAGAGAGAGTCTTAAACTGAAATATCTTCAGCTTTGGCAGAACTGACTGTTTGTCAGCTTAAACAAACTTAAACGAGTGACTTATCCCCATTAGAGTCTAGGAGATCAATATCTTGCTAAACTAATTTAGGAAGTGAGGGAAAGCATTTGAAGTGGAGCCTCCATTGCAGGGGCAGCATGCCCTGAACCCTTAGTGAGTCACTGCTCGGGGGCTGTGGTGAGCCCTCTTGCCTTTGGGCACGGCTGGGCCAGCCTCAGACCACCCTGCAGGTGATGTGTCTTGGTGGGGAAGGGACACAGAAGTGGGGACATCCCTGCTGCCATCTGAGCAGGCTACATCACCCACACCAAAAGAAGCAGAGCTGTGCTGGGTCATCAGGCATCAGCTCCAGTGAGCTCTGGGACCCTCTCCCACCTCTCAAGATCCTGGATGATGTTTCCCAGTCTTGGCACCACTGTTCAAGCACAGCACAGTACAGCAATGAGGCTGCTTTGTCAGCTCTCATTCTTCCTGTGCAGGATTCATCCTGTCTTTTTATGTATACAAAGCTTTCTCTCAGCTGCTGCCATCACGCATGTGAATTTTGCTGTTATGCAAGAACTGCTGTTTCTCTTTAGTTCGAGTGCCACAGCAGCGACAGGCTGCCCTTCTCAAAGCATTCCCATTTCCCAAGGGTCCTGCAGAGACCCACCTCCCTTTTGCTCCCAGCAGCAGGCAGCCAGGCTTCTCTTAGGGAAGCTGACTTCCTTCTGAGGTCAGCAGTGAGGAAAAAGGAGCAGAAATTATAAGGAGAAAGAAGAAATACTGGGTGCACAGGGAGGCTGGTGAGGCAGGAGATGGTAGGATTTGGGAGGGAGTTCTGGGTAAAGAAGGGAGAATAAATTATCAAGAATTTGAGCCAATGTCCAGAAAGAATGACCACAGGAGTTTAGTGCTGTCCTACCTGTCCAAGCTCACCTCATACTCCTGGAGCTCCTCTTCCTCCACCTCATAGGAAACAGTTTGGATACGGATGTCACTCTCTACCAGGCAGGACCCTTGTGCCTCTTGCCCTTCAGGAGCTTCAGATGAAGACTCTTTGCTTTCTGTGAAAGTGGTCTCGCAGCTTTCCATCTTGCTGTCCTTGGCCTTGAGAGCAGTCTCATCCTTCACAAGGATGAAACTGGGGCCATACAAAGCTTCGACAGCCAGCTGCAGGGAACTGGCATCCAGCAGCTGGTGAGTCCTGGCACCACCAGTGTTTTGGAATATGTAGGAATACAGTTTCCCCTGGCAGCGGTGGCTGGGGTAGTCCTGGCTGTGGTGCTGGTGGTAGGAATAGCTGCTGCGAAGGTGCCCATTGGATTTGGCCAAGAGCGGGTTCTGGAGCTCACGCACGCTTTCCATGCTGCCCGTGGGGGTGGTGGGGAGATCCTGCAGGAGCAGAGGGGTGGGAGGGAGTAGGCTGTTAGTTCAGCAGGCAAGGGAGCAGAAAAGCACACCCAATGTCAAGAGGCTAGTGGGAACAGAAAAATTTGGCAGTACTGGAGAAAACAAGACCCCTCCCCACCTCTGCACAGCTTGAATGTTACCTCCCCAGGTGGTAGCAAGATAAGGATGCAACCCTGCAGTAAGGTTATCTGATTCAGACTGGATTAACATGAGGACTTGCTGTATCTATAATGCATCTTAAGTTGGCCATGTGCAGCCTGGCAGGAAAGGACCTTCTGCATCTTTTCTGCTGGTTCATAATGTGTGCTGTGACAAAGACTGACAGCACAGAAGTAGATAAGAGACTGACAATCACTCAAGGAGCGTCCCTGACTTCCCAAAGTAGAGGGCTGCATGGTGAATTATAGCCCACTGGACATTACACATAGACCTAGCTGGCTTTCAGGTGCATAGGAAATTCTCTAGGACTCATCCAAGCCTGAACTGGGGCTGAGGCAAGTGCACTGAGCCACCAAGGGAAGCCAGGGGGCTGCTGTGAGGACACGGAGGTGGTGTTTAGGCTGGGGTGGGAGTGTTGGATGCTCAGCAAGCTGTGAGGAGGAACAGAAAGATGTGGAGATAAAGGGAAGGCTCCATGTGGTTTGGTCCACTTTGAAATGATGAAGTATTAAGTAAATGATCCATCACACCAAAGTGCTGTTTGAACCAGCTCCACCCCTGGGTTCAGCGGCAGCCAGACAGCCTTGGCTCTGGGCCACCAGCTCCAGAAAATGCTGAGTCCAGAGGAGATCCTCAGCTGCAAATGTCAACATGGGTTTCTTCCTCAGGGAAATTCACCTCCCTCTCCCTTCCTCCATTTCAGAGTGAAGGTACAAGCTGAAGGCTTGTACTGCTCTCATTTTTTTTTCCATGAAAATTTTTCACATGAAATATTTCCCCCCCTGCCCCCTTCCTTCAGAGGAGCATTTACTATTTTGGCTTCCCAACCCACCTTGGAACAAAGAAAAAGTACAGTGAAATACCAGCATTCTCAGGAGAGAGAAACAATTACTTTGCCCTCTTCACTACCTGAGCCCCAGGTTTTACAGTCTCTTTAGCATTTTCCCAGCTCCCAGACCATGCCACCTTATTGCCTTGCAACCTCAAATGTTCTTGGTCTCCTTAGAGACCTGGATCACTGACTGCTCTGCAGGATGCTGTGCAGCAGGGTTACACTTCCTCCTGCTGTGACAATCCCTGAGGTGCACCAGGTTTTCTGATAGACAGCACATCACCTTGGCTTTAAATCTCAAGAAGGAAATATAAACAGACAAATGGAAGACTTTAGAAACTGAAAAGCCCAAGTGGTCCTGTTTCCTTGGCCAAACTCCACCACATCATGCAGATGGAGAGCCGTGCATGGTTTTGATGGGCCTGTCCATTTGCTTTGCTTGGGCAGTGGTCATCACATTTTGGAAACCTGCTCAGGAAAATGGAACTGTTCAAAAGCCCTCTCATGCTGCTAAAACACTGTGCATTTTGGTGAATTCCCTTCACTTCTCCCTTCCCAAAACCATTCCCTGCCTTCCACAGTCTCCCACCTTACTTATAAAGCTGGTAGTGGCTCATGCAGCAGATGGCCATTATGTATTTTCAAAATATTTAAGGGAGATGCATATTTGTAGCAAAGATGGTTTTATTTTCTGCACAGACACAGAGAAGCTCAAAGCTACATCCCAGTTTTCAGGCAAGGAAACCACAGTCTTCTTCTTTGCTTACCTTAACATGCAAATTAGATTTCTAACAAAATAACCTATTTTTTAACAAAACCATAAGGAGAGACCAGTCACCAAGTGTCATTTGAGAGCAGCAGCCAAAGCAGGAGCTAGAGAGAGAAAATTGACAGTTTTAGTACAGCATCCACGCCTTATTTCAAGGAATGCTTCTGGCAGCAAGCTAGGGTAGGAAGGAATGGGATCTTGCTGAGAACTGCTGAAGGGAGTCAGTTCCAAATGTGTTGAGAAACACCAGCAGACAGACCACGGGCAGGCTGCTGGCCACTGGCAGCAGGTGCTGCCTGTGGAAGTTGCTGTGCTTCTCACTTTGGGTCCTCAGCAGCAGGCTGGAGAAGGAGCAGAGCTGCACAGAAAAGACTTAAGTTCACAGCAGCAAGCGCTGGGAAACAGAGAGTGGGAGGGGGAAAGAAGGGAAAGGAGCTGGGAGGAACTGGAAACTTAACAGGCAGTTTGGGAGGTGCCAGGGAAGAGTGCCTCTATGCAGCTGGACTGCTGCTGGACGTGGACTCTGTTGAGTCCCAAAGGATGCTAGAAGGGTTGGTGGGAGATGTCTCACTGACCTGGGCTGTGGGGAAGAGGCAGTGAGGGCTTGCAAGCAGCAAACATCCTAGGGTGAACATAGCTTGGAAAAGTAACAGTGTGGGTATCAAAAGAAATCACAGGAAAAAACTCCTGAAGTATGAGGAAGTCTGTGAATGTGGGCTGGGCAGGGCTGAGGCTTCATCCCAGGGAAGGGGGGTGAACTCAAACCTTTCTGAACCCTTAAACTGTCCTGGAGCTCTCCTTAGAGCAGAGCCAGGTTCTTGGAGCTGCTGCACAAAGCATGGACAGGGCAGGGCTACAGCTAGAAGGATTTAGCCTGTACTAGTCCTGTACACTCTGGAATTAAAAAATATTTACCTGTACTTAAGTCTCTTTTCCTTGCTGCCTTCCACTCTTGGGAGCTGGGGCTCATGCTCTCCCTGGGAGACTGCAGGGACAAGGGGAAAAGTGCTGACAAAAATCTCACAGTGCTTCTGATGAATAAACAAAGGAGCCACCAGCTGCAGCCTTCGTGCCCAGTCCTGGCATTTGTCAGCAGTGGGGAGGGGACAGTGAGGGCCAGTGTGACAACATGCTTGCAGCAGCGTGCTCAGCCCTGCTGGAAAGCAGCCAGGCTGAAACCTTCCTCTCCAGAAAGGGTGAAGCTGTGAAAGGGTTCCAGTACCAGAGGGATTAGAGATGCTTCCCACTCCCCAGTCACCAAGATCAGCACATCACACAGAGGCCGTGTACCTGGGTTTGCAGGTGTAGACAAGGGCCATCAAGCCCCTAGAGAGGGAATGACATTAGAGGGGGAATGGCAGAGAGGGTGAGGACCAGCCCTGCATGCACATGTGCAGGGAAGGACAGAGTCAGACCAGCCCTGCAGTTGTCCCCAAACCCCATTTGGGTTATCTGAGTCCTACAGGACTTAAAATCTGAATCACACAGGGACTTAAAAAGGGAAGCCTAGTAATAAAATAGGCCTGGTGATAAAGAAAGCCTGTTAATAACCAAGCTTGGGGAAAGAGAAATGAAGTCAGAAGATGAAAGCAAGAAAGCAGTAAAAGACAAAATTGTCAAAGAGTGGCCATTCTCTGTCTTGATTACCAGCAAGACTGCATAGCATGCACATCCATCAGCCCCATGGGGCTAGTCTGGGCAGTACTGGCAGCAGGTACTGTGGTGAGATGCTGCTGGGTGCACAGGGGGAGGATGCACACACACAGATGTGCTGCTGGGTGCACAGGGAGGATGCACACACACAGATGTGCTGCTGGGTGCACAGGGGGATGCACACACACAGATGTGCTGCTGGGTGCACAGAGAGGATGCAGGGATGCACACACACACAGATGTGCTGCTGGGTGCACAGAGGGATGCAGGGATGCACACACACACACACAGATGTGCTGCTGGGTGCCCAGGGAGGATGCACACACACCGATGTGCTGCTGGGTGCACAGAGAGGATGCACGGATGCACACACACACAGATGTGCTGCTAGGTGCACAGGGAGGATGCACACACACCGATGTGCTGCTGGGTGCACAGAGAGGATGCACGGATGCACACACACACAGATGTGCTGCTAGGTGCACAGGGAGGATGCACACACACCGATGTGCTGCTGGGTGCACAGAGAGGATGCACGGATGCACACACACACAGATGTGCTGCTAGGTGCACAGGGAGGATGCACACACACCGATGTGCTGCTGGGTGCACAGAGAGGATGCACGGATGCACACACACACAGATGTGCTGCTAGGTGCACAGGGAGGATGCACACACACCGATGTGCTGCTGGGTGCACAGAGAGGATGCACGGATGCACACACACACAGATGTGCTGCTAGGTGCACAGGGAGGATGCACACACACCGATGTGCTGCTGGGTGCACAGAGGGAGGATGCACACACACAGATGTTCTGCTGGGAGCATGAGGAGGATGCACACACACAGATGTGCTGCTGGGTGCATGAGGAGGATGCACACACACAGATGTGCTGCTGGGTGCATGAGGAGGATGCACACACACAGATGTGCTGCTGGGTGCACAGGGGGATGCATACATACAAGCATACACACACAGCTCGGGCACCCCTGTGAGGAGGCAGACTGCAGTGCCCTAGTTGAGCCGAACCATGGCTGCAGCTCTTCTCTTGCCTGACAGCTGCTGGCTCCCTACCGAAGTGCCTCCCCCCGTGCACGGCTGCTCCTGTAAGCAGCTGGCTGAGCGGGCCCCCACACGCCCCAGCCTGGCTGCAGCAGTCCCCAGCAGAGTGGGAAATGCACAGCTGTGTTGTGTACTCTCAGCTTCCTAAGGCGAGTACTGGGTAAAAGGAGCCAAAATAAGGCGTGAAAATAAAGAGGTAGCAAATTTAGCTTTGTATTTCACAGATCTCACCTCCATACCTCATCCCCTGAGGCAGCTCTCAGAGGGACCCTTGGTACAGATGCCGGCTATGATAAGCCAGCTAATGATGAATTAAGTAGCTGTTCCAGGAATCAATCATCATTTAATTGCCCTGTCAAGCAAACACTCTGCCTTGCTTCCCAGGCTCATTAGCAGGTTGTGGCCGTGGTCCATGTCCCCAGACTCCAGAGTGAGAGGTTAGCCCACCCTGGCTGAAGGCTTTCCCCTTCAGGACAGCACCAGGCGAGGTCGGTGCTCTCAGCCATTGGTGTCCTGCTGCACTGCCATGCCCTGGCTGGTCTGAGGGCAGGGGACAGTGTGAATGCCTGCTCCTGATCCAGCTGATGTCAAGCAGCACCATGGCCAGGTGCAGCTGCCATAGCCCCAGGACAGATGTGGACCCACTCCTGATGGAAGAGGAAAGCATAGGAGATTTGTGGAGCGCTTGTCCCTGAGCCCAGACCTCCCTAGAAGCTCTCAGGAGGTGCTTTGGATCTCCTAAGCAGAGGCCCAGGTCCAGTCAGGACACAGTACCTCTGCCTCAGGGCATCCAAGCTTGTGGCTCTGCAGAGGAGAAAACCATCTCACAAAAGCTGCTGAGAAGCAAAGGCACAGCATTGCCTGGGCAGCTGTCGTTTTGGAAAGGGGGTGAAGGAAGGGCTGTGAGAGCTTGTGGCCAGTGTGTCTGGCAGGAGGGGACCAAGCCCTCTCTGAGCCATAGGAGCCCATGCAGCAGCATGGATCCCTGGCACGTCTCATCCCTGAGCCCTGTGGGGTGAACCACAGCTCAGGGGAGAAGGGAGTGCTTTCATCAGCCCCACAGGCATGATTGCAGAAAGCAGTGTGGCTCCAGCCAGCACTGGAGCACTCCCATGGGTGCTTGTCTGACACCAGTGCTTCTGGCTTGGGCACAGGACATGCATGTGGATTGAGGGGCTGTTCATTCCCAGGTGTAACAAAGCCTTCACCAGTCCTGGCAAAGGCTGCTGTGGCACAAGCAGCAGGTGAGGTGGCCTGGGGGCTGGAGAGCTCAGAGGGTGATGTGGGGGGGCAGGTCTCAGTGTGGGGCAGGGAGAAAGGGTGGTGAGATATGATGGCCCCAATGGGGCTGGCAGAGGTGGTACCCAGAGAAACAAAAGAGCACAGCAGGGAGAGCAGTGGGCAGGGAAATGGGGGGCAAGAAGGATGGGGCAGGGGAAGCAAAGTGACATCCGAGCCAGACAGAGAACCCTGCCACCAACACGGAGATAAAAAGGACTGTGAAGCTGCTGGAGAGGAAAGAGTTGGTGAGGACCAGGAGGGAAGGAAGAAGGTGACACAAAGCCTGGACTTGGACTAGAGGGAGGACAGCTGAGCCATTTGTGATGTAGAGAATCTGATTCACACCTTTGATGCAGCTGGTTTGATAGAGCTGGAAAGGAGTGAATAAAATGCTTGTTCTGATCTCCTGACAGGTGGAAAGCCAGTACCAAAGGGCTGCTGACTCCAACAGAGACTAAATTGCTCTGAGAATTGGGATGCGATGGGCTGCTTTTCAAGGATCACAAGTCAAGTTGGGCAATTTCCAGGTGGAAACCGGGTCTTTATTGTCTCTGATAACAATGTTTCTCTGCGGCAGTGTTCTGACCCAGCTATGCTCAGAACTAAGGTTGCTCCTGATGGTAGGGAGCAGCAAATCCATCCCTGGGGCTGGCAAGGAGAAGCCTTGGAGGTTTTGGAGAAGCCGTTCCAGGAGCTCTCGGGGGCTCCCACCCCTGCCTGTCCCCAGCTCTGGTGGCAGCAATCTGGACGCACTGCCCGTGCGCATCACACCAACAGGGGAGCAGTGGAACCCCCATCGCCTCCAAGCAGGCACCCCCACAGCACGCGGCTTCACCCGGCCGTGCCCGCGCTGCACGCAGCCTGTGCGGCGCCGGGAGGGCGCTCGTGGCTGCCGTGTCCCCCGCCCCGGCCGTGTCCCCCGCCCCGGCCGTGTCCCTCGCCCCGGCCGTGTCCCCCGCCCCGGCCCCTGCCCGCACAGTCCCGCATCCTCCAAACAGCCCTGCACAGCCCGCACAGCCCGCACAGCCCCGCATCCCCCTCACAGCCCCGCACCGCCCCGGCGGCCGGGCCCGGCCGCTCCCGACCCTCAGCGTGGCAGGGCCGGGACGGCGGCCGCGGGCAAAGCCGGGGTGCGGTGCCTGCGTGTCCGAAAGGCTGGGGACGGCTGCGGCGCCCCACACCCCGGGGTCGGCCTGGCTGGTCCGGCCCGAGCACGGCCCCGGCCCGGGCTCTGGCCTCCCCCGTGCCCCTCCGGCACGAGAGGTGCGGGGCGGGCTGATCGAGCTGGCTTGCGGGAAGAAGGAAACATGGCTGGTGCCGCAGCGCGTGAGAGCCACAGTTATCCTAAATGGCTCCATGCTCTTCTCCAAGTAGGCACTTTTACCCATACCCTTTTCTCCATTCCCATCATCTCTGCTTCAGGGCTCTTCTGCTCATGAGGTCCCACAGGCCATTCATGGCTGCTGTTACTATGGGACCCTGCACCCCGTGGTCCCCAGAGACCACTCTGAGAGCATCAATGCCCTGTGCTGGAGCAGACCTGTGCCTCATGCTCCCCTCCAGGACCAGCTGTGCTCCCCTTTGCCCTGCAGCCCAGCCTGGGACCGTGTGCAGGTCTGCATCCCAGGGATGGTCTCCCTTCAACACCCTGGCACCAGCACAGAAGTGGTCAGGCAGATGGGACCTGCCTTTCTTCCAGGTGAGAAACCTGCACCATCCAAGACCAAAATGGGGACAGGGACATAGCACTCAAGGTGGCAGCAGTTGTTGGGGGCACAGAAAGATGTCCTCCCCTGCACAGCTGTGGCTTGCTGATAGGGCAGCTTAGCCACAGCACCTAACTCCATCCTCACATCTCCCTGAAAATCCCTGTCTTATCAATTGAAGCTGGCAATGTAAAGCGTCTGTTAAGGACTGCTCATTTGTCTCTCTTTAGAACATATCCCTACTCAAATGATTCATTAGCACCCTGAAGGCTAGCACACACAACACCCTCCTTTCCCCACTGCCCTGTTTATTTTATCCTTGTCTCCCTGCCTTCAGCTCAGGGCTATTTCCACCTTGCTTACTCTGTCCTGATTCTCCTGGGGATTCACAAGACTCCTCTGTAGTTCAGATATTTAATTCATCTGCCAATGATCTGCTTTCTCTTTAAAAATGAACTTAAGTTGTGGAGATGACACTTTTCTAGCTTACTTTCCAAAACCCTAAGTTTCCAATTATCAGCAGTAAGATGATTTCCTTGTCCAGCAAATAAGTCTCCCCAGCTGGCAAACATCTGCAGGCCCAGACAAACTTCAAGGTGTTAAAATTATTACTAGGGTCAAAAAATGAAATCCAAACCAGATGTTGAGAGTCTCTTCCATATTCCAAAATTCCATATTGCCAAAGAATACTCAAGTGGAGATGTGCCCCCTGAGTTTGAGGAGGGG